TAATAAAAAAATGAATAATAAATAATTAAAAATTGAAATGAAAATTAAGTTAAAATAGCTAAAAAATTTTAGTTTTAACAAAAATCAATAAATAATGATGATAATTTTGTTTATAAAAATTGTTTATTTAAATAAATTGATTATTAAATATACAAAAAATATCAATAATAATAAAAATAGTATCTTTTAATTAAATATACCTCAGATTAATATGGAGAACCTAATGAGATAAAAGTGAGGAGCTTTTAAACTTTTTTTATTAATTTTTATAAATTTAAAGGATATTAATAAAAAAATTAATAATTACTTTTTCGAGATTATTATACTTTTTAATCTATTATATCATTTATTTTTTTTTTCAAAAATATTGAATAGCAATTTATGAAATTTAATTAATTAATTAATTATAAATAGATAAAAAGAACAAATAAATATAACAATTAATTAATTATCAAATATTAATTTATATATTTGGTTCTATGATGAGATATCACATCAAATTGATTTAACTTTCACTATTTAAACTTAATATTTGTATTTAAAACATATAATTTAAAATATAGTAGGAATTAGAGATGGCCAGTTATTTATTTAGTCATATTTGAAAAAAACCTTGTAGTTAATGTTCTTAAATATAATAAAAATAATTTATCAGTAGATTTTTCTGTTTTAGCTCTGTAATTTTGGAATATTTATAATATCTTTAATTATAGCCAGATGCCATACAAAAATTTCATAATGACATATTATGAAATATATTTTTTTATTTATTTATTAAAAAATCTGATTTATATATATATATATATATTTTTTAAATGAATTATAATTAATTTATAATTTAATCTATTATAATTTCAATAATAAAAATAAAGGCGAAAAAATTCAATATTGATATATAATATTCATCATTTTATACTGTAACTTATATAATCAAAATATCTTGCATAGTATTGTAGATTTCAATAATTATTTATTCTAATAAAAATAAAAAAGTAATTTTATAGCATTTTAAAAAACAACATGTAAATAAATAAACTGAAAAAAATAAAATTTATTTTATTTTATTCAATCATTCATTCATGGTTTTGCTTGTCTGTTTTTTCGCTGTTTTCTTAATTTAAATTTTCAGTTATTTACAACTTTTCTATTTAATCAAGCTAGTTGAAACTACTACTTTCATTTTAAGAAATGTTATTTGAGTTTTATTAATTTTTTTAATCGTCATTTAATATTTATTTGTTTTATTTTTTTAGCCTTGATTCAATAGATTTTTATATATCAATGAGATGTGAACTTTTATCAAGTTTAGAACTGCCAAGCTTTTCAACTCCTTCTAAAACTACTTGCTTTTGTTCTTCTTTAAGGTCTTCATTAATTTTTCTATTTCCTAAAACAGTCAAAGTGGTAGTCTTCCAATCAAAATTAAGATGTATTGCTAATCCCATCATGACTGTCACAGTGTCTATATTTAAGGCTCTCCTAGTAAGATCACTTAAGTATTAATTAATAGGCAATTTAGCTGATTTGATATTCATAGAATTTGCTCTATCATAACTAGCCCATTTCTTAACTGTCCTATCTATTAAACCTCCTACTATATAAATTGTATTCCCACTAGGATCGACAGTTTCTAGCTCATTTTCGCTATCAGGTGATAAATAAATCATATTTGCTTCTTTTCCTTTAAACCTTTCAATTTCTAAAATATCTTGTTCATATACATTAAAAGGCAACTTTTTGAAAATTTGTGTGTTCATGCAATCCTTCAATTATTAAGAAGCGTTGCAGACATTCACCTAAAAGGGATTTTTATTTTTTCTCTAAGCAAAAACTGTTTATGAAATTTGTATGGCCAAAGAACGTATTTCTCTAAATGTCATATACTACTCAAAAGAGTTATCAATAATCAATGGAATACCACTTTCGTAGCCTTTGATCATATTTAATCTTTCTTATTCGATTTCTTCTTTACGTTTGCATCTTTCTTAGAATTTTTCATCATTTGACAATCCATCTAAACGCTTATTAACTCTTTTCTTTCTTTGATTCCATTTATCCTTTAAAAATTCCTTATCAGTATGTTTTTGCAAATGCTAATGATATTATTATAATTTTTTTTAGCTATGAGATAATCTCTCTATTTTGAATTCTTTACTCTCAAATTCTATATCTCCAAATAATAAATCTTCTACTAAATCTTGGTTTTCATCTTCATGTTCATCTCCTATAGAATTCTCCTTTTCTACTTTATCTGATACTTCCATTTTCTATTATGTTTCTTAGTTCATTTATTTTTAACTCTTTTAATTTTTTAAAGATTTTTGATACAAAAATTTAGGATATTATTAAATCGACACTTCTACTTTTTAATTTGAAAGCACATGAAAGCATGCAAAACGAATTTAATATTTTGATAGCCAGCAATATTAATCAAACTAAAATTATCCTTTCTTTTAGATTCATTATAATAATAACTTTGTTAATAAAGCAGTCAAAAAAATAAAACCAATAAACATTCATAATGTATTTCAATAAAATGAATGACTTAAACAAATTGAGAATAAAATGTCTGATTTTTAAATTGATTATGAAAAATATCTCAATTAATTCATAAATTTTTTTAAAAAAATTTAATAAATTAGAATTATGAAGTAAATATTTTAGCAATTTGATATTTATTCTCAATAGAAGCTAAATCAGTAGATTATTGCACTAATATTTTAAAAAATTAAACATTTAAAACAATGATTTTTTAGCAATTTGATATTTATTCTCAATGAAGCTAAATCAGTAGATTATTGCATTAAAATTTTAAAATATTAAACATTTAAAACAATGGTATATGAACAATCAATATATTAATATAATTTAAAGTTTTAATTATTAACCTTTCTCTATGAAGAAAGTTAGAAAATCATTAATAAAAGCAATACTAAACAGCTAAATATTTAATTTAATCCTGATTGAATATGTTTTAAATTTTCTGGCAAGTTTTAAACTTTTAAAATGATTGAAAAAATCTTTAATTTTTTAATTTTTTTAGTCATCATAAAATCATAAAAAATGAATGAATAAAAATAATAATTCCAAAATTTTTTTGTTTATTTTAATATTTTTTTGAAAATAGCTTTTGAAGTTCTATAAAAAATAATAAAATTTGTAGAATTCTAAAGATGGATTTTATTATGTTTTATATAAAATTACATGTCTATAATGATTTAATGAGAATGTTAGAGTTTGAGTAATAATGAAATATAAAATATGTAATGAAAGATGAAATATTATTTTTATTAGATTCTAATATCTTATTTAAATCAGGAAGTTAGTTGCTATATGAATGTCTCTGCGTTGAGGATTTCGGAACCTCCGTACATAATGTTTTTATTGAGTTTTTTTCCAATTTCTTGAATATTTTAATATTCATTGTAGTTTCCTCCACCGAGTGAAAAGACTACAACATCTGAGAAGATTTTTGGCTATGTGAGAGTGTTTTGGTTATTCAGAATGTCTATGAATTTGTAACCTAACTTTTCAGAATTCATACATTTGGATTCTATGATGCTTTTAACTTGTGTGGCAATTTCAAAGTCTTATTCTATTCCAATAAGGTTGTTTTTAACGTTGTTAATCAAACCTTTTCCTTGTGATTTTACTCTGCTTGCAAATTTACCAAAAATACTTGTTAGTTTATCTGCTATTTCTTCGCTGTTTAAGTTAGTGTCTGAGGAAGCAGCGGTAGAAGTTGTGGTTTCTGGGATTCTCTTTTGCTTAAATTGCTCAAGGATTTAAATGTACTTTTTATTGGTTATTCCAGCTGCTTCTTCCAACTGCTTAAAATCGTTGATGTCAATATCTTAAACAAAAAGCAAGTATATAATCAAAACACGTAATTTATCTAAATCAAAATTAGGCTTTCCTGCACCAATTGAACATTGTTAGAACATTTCAATTAATTCACTTTTTTCCTATCCTTTAAGTTGCTTTTCTCTGATAATTGTTGAACCTGCTTCGAAATATTTATCAAGATGACGTGTTGAAAGCTCTGATTTTAAACCTGCGGAAATAGACATGTGCATTTCAATGAGACGTCTTTAATCTTTCATTTCATTTATATTACTCATTGCTGCAACCATTTTAGAAGTATCTTCCTTAATTGATGTTATTTGTTTGTATTCAATGTCCCATTTCTGCAAACGTTCAACTATATCTTTTGCAACTTCAGGGAAGGGAATGTTCATTTTGTCCAACCAATAAGAGTCTTCATTTTAGCTATCAAGATCAAAGTTTTGCACTTCTTTTGAGTCTGGTTTGTTTAATTTGACTTTATTGTTTTCAATGTGATAAACATCATGAATGAGAGCTCCATAGTGCCAAGGATGAAGAAGCATAGAGCCTAAATCAACATCTCTATCAACCAAAATAAGAATTGGTTAAGTAAATTAAGGCTGAAGAAAATCGGTGGATTCGTCTTCATATTCTTTAGAATTTTTATACAAATTCTCAAACAACGAATACAATTCCTAAGCGAGCAAGACATTATTTTTATCATCTGAGTAAATAATGTAAGGAGTCTTTTTCATGGTTCTAAAAAGACTGAATAAACCCATAGCCGCTTAGCTAATAACTTATGCAGCAGTTCTAGTTCCTGCAGCTCTCAAACTCTTGTAGCTTTCCTTGATGTTTAAAGAGAAGAAGTCCCTGGAAAGGGTGACAAAATCTATTGTGTATTGAACAACTCTCTTTATCTTATAAACTGCATTTAAATTTCCAACATGAACTGCAAGACTCTAAAGCAATTCTTCATCAGCTGGAGATGAAAAATTAATGTAAACTTAATCGTAAAGATCTTTATTAAAATCCTCCATAATTGCTTTAATATTCTCCTAAGTAGGCTATACTAAATAGTATGCCTTAACACCGTGTAAACGATCTCTTTTTTCTCCTTTTTAATTGATATTTAAATGCAATGTGATGTTCATTTCTCTTAAGTGGCCAACCTTCAGAAGAGTTGACAAAATATTCTAGCAATGAGTATCAAAAATCAAAACCTTCCAAACGCATCCATCGCTTTCTTCTTCTCTCTTTGATACCTTCAAAACATTTTCTAAAACTTCGCGTTGCAATTTAATCAAATTCGCTTGCTTTCCTTATTTCATAGATCCTTATTATCCATAAATGTCCATTTTTAATGCTTAAAATTTTTTATTATTTAAACCAACTAACCAACTAAATAAATGAAAATTAATTAATACTTTCTTAATTATTTTTTGTTATTTATTCAAAAAGATATATAAAAAAGAAAGCCCTTCTCTTCAAAGCTCATTTAAAAACGCTTGTAAAAGTGAATGAAAATTTTAATTTTTAATTAATAAAACAATAGCGAACACAAAATAAAATCAATGCAAAGATGATTAAATAATATCTTATTTTCATTTAAATATAAAGAAAATTAGAAATAATTAGTAGAATCAGTGTGTGCATGTGAATAATATTTGCAAAACACTTGTTAAGCTTATATTAATTTATGCTATTATTGGAATTTAAAAATATAAAATTATTTTTTTTAAATTAAATTTTTACATCAAAGCAAATTTTATTAAATAATATCTTATTTTCATTTTAATATAAAAAAGAAAAATAGGAATTAGAGTCATCGTGTGTGTGTGAATAATACTTGTAAATCACTTGTTAAGCTTATATTAATTTAATGCTTTTATTGGAATTTTAAAAATATAAAATTATTTTTTTAAAAATTAAATTTTGTTAAAAACCAAAAATATCCTTCAAGTTATTTCAAATTTTTATATTTTAAAAAAATATTTTTTGAATAAAAATTTGAAGACAATAAAGCATTAATTAAATTAAAAGAATCTTATGTTATTGTTTAAAATTTCGAATTCAAATAAAAGATATTCATTTAAGTTAAAAAGTAAATAAATTTATCATACATTTGAATTTATCCAAATAAATAATATAAGTTTAATATTAATAA